GAAGCGTTTGGCATCTCCCTTGGGAAGGGGGGATCAGTGGAGGCTCCGTAGCCCTGCCCCTGCCTCATCTGGGCGCCCAGCAGGCATGGGTGCCGCTGCCCAGTCCAAACACCCTCCATGTATTCGAGGGGCACTGACCCCCGCGTTATCGGCCAGACAGGCTGGCTGCAGAGGGCAAACATCCCTCCCCCAAATCACACACGTTCCGCCACCCAGATCCTCCCTCACCTCACCGCACGGCACACAGCGGGGCGGAAAGTCCACTTTGAGTTGAGATGGCGGTGTCCAGCATCCAAGCCCTCCCGCAGATGCTAGAGAACGGAGCCCGTGTCCCCTCCCCGAGATCTCCCCCGCGACAGGCGAACGTGGGCCAACAAGGGGTGCAGGGCTGGGAGCCAGGCCGGCCGGAACGCCCTGCAGACCCGGGAAGGAGGTTCACAGGGACAGTCAGCGCCCCCCCACCACTGCCCCCCAACGACGGCAACACGCGGCACAGCAGGGGGCCCATTGCTCACAGTGACATGCCCACCTGCGGGCACCCGTCCGGCAGACACACACACACACGCCGGGGACCATAACACACGGGCGGACGCCCACAGGCACGCGTGTGCGGCTCAGAGCGTCTGTCCTCTCCGGCCTGGCTCTGCTACTCTGGTCACTGAACAGACGAGGCTCAGGTGAAGTGCCAGCCACATGCCCAGTCTCGAACTCTTGCTTCCCCGACCACTGACCAGCTGGAGGCTTAAGTCCTCCAAGCCAACACACGCTCGCCTTGAAAATGGGAAGGGGGGGATGGAAAGGCAGTAGGGGGTGGGGTTAGGCAGGTGCCCTGTGCACAGCCCATCCTGGAACCGTCCCCCAGCATCACCGGGCGAGGCCCTGGAGGTCGTGCTCACTGCCTGGCTGGCCTTGATAATTGTCTAAACGGCAGGGTCTACACAGCACCGGCCAACTGGCAGAGAATCCATAGGAGGGGTCCGAGGGTGTGCTGGGCACTGCTCGGCAGGCCCCCAAAGCGGAATAAAACAAAATGCCACAGAAGAGGGGGCAAGCTGGCGGCACTGTTGTAGGGAGCACAAGCGTCAAACTCCAGTGCTCCCATTGCTGCATCCCTGAGATTATGGTGTTTTGTTTTGTTTTGTTTTTGTTTTTGCACACCCGGCGATGCTCAGGGGTTATTCCTGGCTCTGCACTCAGGAATTGCCCCTAGAGGTGCTCGGGAGACCATCTGGGATGCTGGGAGTCGAACCCGGGTCGGCCACGTGCAAGGCAAACGCCCTCCCCGCTGTGCTATTGCTCCAGCCCCATCCCTGGGATTATGGCGGGGGGCATTCTCCACCTTGCTCTGCTGGGGCGCCTGCTGCAGAAACGCACACGCTGTCCTGGTGGCTGACCAGCCCCACCTGCTTTTCAGGACTGAGCCCCCCCCACACACCTGACGCCCTGGTCATCACAGGCACCTCCTTGTCCTCTGAGGCCGGCAGGACCCTCCCTCGTCCTCATCAGGACCCCAACTCGTGACCAATGCAGCAAAGCACCTGTTCCCCCCAAATCTCTCCTCCTGCCATGGCCCAACAGCGAGGCAGCCCCCCGCCCTTTGGGACTGGACTGAGTGAGTGACTAACTTATTGACTATGTGAGTGGCTGACTGCGTGAATGACTGACTGACTGACTTATTGACTATGTGAGTGACTGAGTGCGTGAGTGAGTGACTGACTGACTGACTGTACCCGGGTATCAGGGCACCTGAAAGGAGAGAATTGTGGCCCCTCAAGCTGACCCCAAATGGCCTGTGGCATCGGGTAGGGACACAGAGCCCCACTCTGGATCTGGCTCTCCTGATTTTGGTTTCGGGCTGATTTTACCGTCTCTTCTTTAGTTTTTGGTTTGGTCGGGGGCACAAGAAGCAGTGCTCAGGGGCTCTCCCCACACTGTGCTTGTGTGCTCGAGAGGCGGTGGGGGTCACTCCTGGGGCCGCTCAGGGGACCATGTAGTGCCTGGAGTACAACTGGAGCTTTCCGTGTACAAAACATCCGAACCAGCCTGCGGCCTCTCCCTGGCCCGGGCTGCTTTATTTGCTCAGCTCCACACAGCCACCCGCTCCCGCCCTCTCCTGGCGCATCTCAGGGGCTCTGAGTGCTGGCACCGAGTATATACAAATGACTCGATATACAAATGACTAGGTGTGACTGACCATGTGAGTGAGTGACTGATTTACTGAGTGTGTGAGTGAATGAGTGACTGGACTGAGTCTGTGACTGACTGACTGAGTACGTGACTGACTGAGTGACTGACTGACTAACTTAGTGAATGTGTGATTGACTATGAGTGAGTCACTAACTGCGTATGTGAGTGATTGAGTGACACTGATCATGAGAGTGACTGAATATATGAGTGAGTGACTGACTGACTTACTGAGTGCAGCAGTGACTGACTGACTGACTTACTACTGAGTGCAGGAGTGACTGACTGACTGACTTACAGAGTACATGAGTGACTGACTGATTGATTTACTACTGAGTGCAAGAATGAGTGACTGACTTAGTGCAAAAGTGACTGACTTACTGAGTGCATGAGTGACTGACTGACTTACTGAGTGCATGAGTGACTGACTGACTTGCTGAGTGCAGGAGTGACTGACTGACTGACTTACTACTGAGTGCAAGCATGAGTGACTGACTTACTGAGTGCAGGAGTGACTGACTGACTTACTGAGTGCAGGAGTGACTGACTGACTCACTCAGTGCAGGAGTGATTGACTGACTGACTTACTGAGTGCAAGAGTGACTGACTGACTGACTTACTGAGTGCAGGAGTGACTGACTGATTTACTACTGAGTGCAAGAGTGAGTGATTGACTAACTTAGTGCAAGAGTGACTGACTGGCTGACTTACTGAGTGCAGCAGTGACTGACTGACTGACTTACTACACTTATTGAGTGCATGAGTGAATGACTGACTAATTTACTGAGTGCATGAGTGACTGACTGAGTGCAGCAGTGACTGACTGACTTACTACACTTACTGAGTGCATGAGTGAGTGACTGGTTGACTTACCAAGCGCAGGAGCGACTGACTGACTGACTTACTACTGAGTGCAAGAGTGAGTGACTGACTGACTGACTTACTCAGTGGAGAAGTGACTGACTGACTGACTTACTGAGTGCATGAGTGAGTGACTGGTTGACTTACCAAGTGCAGGAGTGACTGACTGACTGACTGACTTACTGAGTGCAGGAGTGACTGACCTATTGAGTGTGAGTGAGTGATTGGATTGAGTCCATGACTGAATGAGTGACTGACATTGAATGTGTGACTGAGTACGTGACTGAATGAGTAAGTGACCGACTGCCTTACTGAGTGTGTGAGTGAGTGAATGACTGCGTGCGTGAGTGCGTGAGTGAGTGAGTGAGTGATGAGTACATGAGCACGTGAGTGAGTGAGCAGCCAGGGAGCTCCAAGCAGACCCCATTTCCTCTCTTGCTCATCCACTGCTGGTCCTAGTGGCAACTCATCCAGGTCAGTTGTCCAGACAAGCTAGTTCACACCCAGCCACCACTGAACCTCCAACTCCCACCAGCCAGGTCCTCTCTGGGTAGGGGCTCACGGCGCCCACATTCCAACCCTCCCACACACTTTTTCAAAGTCCAGAGCAAGTCACGAACCTCTCAGTTTCTTCCCAAGTTCCTCTCCTGGGAGCAGGGACAGGACCTGAGCACTGCCCAGCACTGCCCCCAGCTGGCCTCCCACTGGGCTCTGCACCGGCCCTGCACCCTGGCATCTCCCAGAACCCTCAGTGTGGAAGGACGGAGCGGAATGCGGAACAGCCCCGGAACCCTCAGCGCAACCTCCCTGGCTCTTCGCAGCCCCTGGTGGAGGATATTACAAGAACCATTTCGCACCCAGGGCAAGAGTTGGCAATCCACTTCCTAGGTAAGAGGTGAGCCTCGTCCCCACAGAAAGCAGGCCATCACCACCATCCATCTTGGCCCCGGGAGGTCACCTCCCACATGAAGTCGGACCCCACCATATGCCCTGTCCCCTCCCCAGGAGGCGGACCCCCCTGCTCCGACCTCTCCTTCTCAGCCCTTCTCCAGGATTCTTAGAGCCCTCAGAGAGACTGTGTCCTGGTCCAGCCATCCACCTGGGCCTCCCTCACCATCCTGAGTAATGTCATCTACAGCTGTGGCCCTAGGATTCCCGAGTCTGTACCTCACGGTGGGTCCACAAGGGCCTGGAAGGTCGCCGTGTCCGATCCACGCTCTCCTTACTCCCACTCAGCATGACGCCGCCCCGTTTCCCTCACAGTCCCTGTGGCCCTTCCCGGTCGGCGCCCCTGGACCCCCCTTCCCCCCTGCCCTGTGCCCACAGCCCCAGGACCCTCCCGATGGCACTGGCCTGTGCAGCTCCTGCTCTGGTGTCCTGTGAGCCACTCCGGGGCTCTCTCCGGGGTGACAATGTGACACAACAAGTCACACCCAGTTTCTTTATCCATGGTTTTCTCTTTTTCGGGGCATTAGGGGGCGGGCACACCTGGCAGTGCTCAGGGCTTACTCCTGGCTCTGTGCTCAGGGTTTTCTGCCGGCAGTGCTCCAAAGAGATTAGAAAGTGCAAGAGACTGAACTGGGCTGGCTGTGTGCAAGGCCAGCGCATAACCACTGACCGCTCTGGCCCTGTTGTGTCGCTTGACCTTGACCCACCTGGCGGCCTCTCTTCCTGCACCTTCTGACCACTACCCCGCCCCCACCCTGCCTTTGTCCTCGAGGGCAGTTGACGTGAGATGGTCTCCTGATCTGAGCCCAGGACCCCACTCCTAATTTGGAAGGTCCTTCCCTTGGGAAGCCTTGTCCCCTGCCGCCCCCTTGTGGAATGGGTGGTGGCCCCTCACCCCTGCCTGCCTCTGTTACAGCCCGACAGCTCCTGGGGAGCGCCCGGCGGAGGACACGCCAGGACTGGGGGGCCCTCCTGGGGTGGGGGGCGGGGGTCCAGCCCGGCCTTACCTGTCTCTGTGGGCCCGTGGGATCCGACTCTCTCCGCCGAGGGCGCGGTCCCGAGTGCAGGGGCGAGTGGGAAGGGCTGCCCGGCGTGGGGGGCTGCGACGTCTCTGACCGGCCGTCGGCCTGGCTCAGCTGGGGGTGCGGGGACGGGGGCGGCACCTGCCGTGTGTCCTCCTCGGCCAGGGTCTGCATGCCACGGCCCCGGGGCCGGACAGGAGGCTCCGTCCCTGGCCGCCGCCGCTCCTCACCCTCCTCGGGCAGCGGCCGCAGTTCCTCGGGCTCCTCGTCCGTGGTGCCCGACGTGCTGGGCTCGGCCCCCGGAGGGAAGTCCTTGAGCTCCGTCTCCTTGTCAATGATGACCCACTCCTTGCTGTCGAAGTCCTCCTCCTCCGCCAGGGGCACCGAGCGGAAGGCGTTGCTCAGGGCCTCCTGCTCCACGGAGGCGGACACGTCCATGCGGCCGCTGGCCTGGCGGTCGGCGTGGCCGGTGTCCACCGAAAGCATCTGCGCAGGCTGTGAGGAGCAGGCCTGGCGCGAGGGAGAGCCGGGCAGATCCATGCGGGACCTGCAAAGCCACCCACTGGGACTCAGTGCCCGGCCTCACCGGGTGGGTCCCCAGGACCCCAGGCAGGTGGCGGCAGCCCGACGGAGGTGGGGGGTCGGCGGGGGGGAACGCCCTGAGCCTCCTCCTGACACCACAACCTGCTCCCTTGGAGCCAGACCCAGGAACTTCCGATGGTCTGTCCGACCCCCGCCAGCTTCATTCCACCCAGTAAAAGTCTCATTCACTCACTCATTCATTCACTCTCATTCACTCATTCATTCACTCACTCACTCATTCATTCACTCACTCACTCACTCATTTTTTCATACGCTCATTTGCTCACTCTCATTCATACACTCAATCAGCCCCTTTCTGAAAGGCACCAAGTTCCAGCACTAGAAGCATGAGGAAGAGCAGGAATAAAATAGGGTTCGTGTGTCCAGGAAACACTCCTCTGGATTCCCCCAGAGATCCTGAATCTTCCTGAAGTCAGTGCCAAGCTCCCCCTCCTGGGGTCCACCCATCAGGGGCTCCATCCTGCCGTAACCAGGACCTCCCTCCCGGCCTGGCGCCTGTGCGTAGGGATGGTTCTTCTGGCCATCTCCGCGGCTCGCTAACAAGTTTCAGAGGCATCCCCAGCTGTGAGGACAAAGTCCGTCCACCTTCCTCGGGCAGTGCAGGCCCCTGGGCTCGGGGGTCTAAGCCCCCCTGCCCCCGCCCCGCTCCAGGCAGACCCATCCAGCTGCACTGACCTTCGCCCCATGGCTGCAGGCTCAGCGGGCCCTCGCGGCCTGTACCCTGGAGTGTCTGCTTCTCGGGGATCCCTTCTGCCCTGCAGGACTGTGTTTACGTACCTGCCTCTGCCGGCAGGGCCGGGTCCCTACGGGCTCTCTACCCCTGGGGGACTCACCCTCTTGGAGACTCCGGCTTGTTATGATCGTAAACCCAGGCTGGGACTCAAATTGCCTCCAGAGCTTCTCGACAGGGCAGGGGGGTGTCGAGAGGAATGGGGGGGGCTACCACCCTTAAAGAAGACACTTTCAGTGGTGGGGTGGGTGGATGGATATAGCACAAGGAAGACTCGTCCCTTCCCTAAAGCCCGGTGCCCTGACCCCAACTCCCACAAGTTTTGCTGTGCACCTCCCCAAGGTGGGGCTGACTTTCCCTGCGCCCCGTGTTCCCCGGTGCCCCCACTCATTGGGCTGTGAGGGGAGAGGACACAGGGGAGCTTGGGGCGGGGGGGGGGTCGGTGGGCGAGCAGCACAGGTGCAGCTGCATGCCACGTTCTCCTGTTGATGGGCTTCCAGAAAACATCCTGTCCCCACAGCTCACGTGCGCAGGGTGTTTGTGACCCTAAATTTGACCCCTGGCACTGCCCGGGTCCTCAAGAGTAGCCTGGGAGCCCCCAGCACGGCACGCTGGGAGGATGCTGCTAGGAGCGGTGTCTGGGGGACTGGCCCAGCTCCCTGCCAATGCTGGCCACGCGAGGTCCAGACTTCCCTCCCATGACCCGTCGTCCTCCAGGCTTCCTGAGACTGGAACCTTCCCAGCACATGTCCAGCCAGGTCCCTCCTCCTCAACAGTCACCATTTTTCCCTCTTTTTTTTTTTTTTTTTGCTTTTTGAGTCACACCCAGCGATGCACAGGGGTTCCTCCTGGCTCTGCACTCAGGAATTACCCCTGGCGGTGCTCAGGGGACCATATGGGATGCTGGGAATCGAACCCGGGTTGGCCGCATGCAAGGCAAATGTCCTCCCACTGTGCTATCACTCCAGCCCCTTTTTTTCTTTTTTTGGGTTTTGGGCCACCCCAGGCCGTGCTCAGGGCTGACTCCTGGCTCTGCGCTCAGGGATCCCTCTAGGGGGGACTCAGGGGACCAAATGGGGTGCTGGGAACGGAACCTGGGTCAGCGCATGCAAGGCGAGTGCCCGAATCACACCGGCCCCTCCTGCAGCCGAGGGGCGCCCCAGCCCCTCTCCTAAGGCAGACGGGAGCCCTAAGGAGTCTCCAGGGAGTGTTCTGGAAACCAAAGTGCCACTTGATGGTCCCTCTCTGGGCTGCCCGTCCCGCACCCTAGTGCACCAGCAGGCCTGGACCTAGCCTGTCCCGCTGCGCCTTGCAGGGGAGCCCAAGTCGCCTCCCAGGTTTTGGTTTCTTTCTGCCCCTTTTTGCCACACCCGGCGACGCAGAGGGGCCACTCCTGGCTCCGCGGGCTCTGGGGACCACCGCGGCCGGCCTCCCCCGCGCCCCGCGCCCCCAGACCCACCTCCTCTCGTGCAGCTCCGCCCGCCCGTCGGCCGTGGACAGCCGCTCCGACTCGGGGCTGTTCACCCTCCGGTAGCGCAGGGAGCGGACGGGGGTCGTGGGCGAGTCCGGCGGCGCCCGCACCGGGGAGCTGGGCACCCCCACGCCCCGGTTCTGCTCCTCCTCCACCACGCAGGGGGTCTGCGGAGAGCGCGGGGTGAGCGGGCGGCGGGGGCCGGGGGGCGCGCCCCCACGCCCCGGCCCCCCGCGCTCACTTTGCCGATGTTGATCCGGAGCTTGTTGCGGTTGACGTCGGTCTCCTCCCACACCTCCGCCTCGGGACCCCCGGGGTGCGGGCTGAGGTGGGCGCCCGGGCCCAGCCCCTCGGGGGGCCTCCCCGGCAGGATCGGGGGCGCGTTCTCCTGGTCGCTCAGGTGCTCGCCCTGCAGCACGTCCTCCGTGTTCTCCCGGAGCAGGTCCCCGGGCACCGGCGTCACGTTCACCACACTGCGGGGGGCCAGGTGGGGGCATGAGAGGGGCCAGGGGCGAGGGGCAGGGGGCGGGGTGCCCCGACGCCCCCTCCTCCCCGCACGGGTGCGCCCCCTCCCGAAGAGACGCAGGAGGTGGGGGCTCCGGGGAAGGTGGGGAGGTCTTGGGGGGAGGTGGGGGTGTCCAGGGGGAAGGTGGGGGCGTCTTGGGGGGAGGTGGGGATGTCTGGGGGGAGGTGGGGGTGTCCAGGGGGAAGGTGGGGGCGGCTTGGGGGGAGGTGGGGGCACCCTGAGGGGAGGGGGGTATCTTGGGGGGAGGTGGGGATGTCTGGGGGGAGGTGGGGGTGTCTTGGGGAGAAGTGGGGGTGTCCAGGGGGAGGTGGGGGCGTCCTGGGGGAGGTGGGGGTATCCTGAGGGGAGCTGGGGGCACCCTGGGGGGAGTGGGGCGTCCAGGGGAAAGATGGGGTGTCCATGGGGAAGGCGGGGGTGTCCTGGGGGAGGTGGGGGCGTTCAGAGGGAAGGTAGGGGTGCCTGGGGGAAGACGGGGGCGTCCTGGTGTCTCCTTCACAAATGTGCCCCCAGGCTTCAGGGCACAGCACCTGGCATCCCAGTCCCTGGGTTGTGTACAGCCTCCAGCAATAAAATGAAAATTCTTACCGAACCCCTGGCTCCCCCGCCCACCTCTCCCCACCTCACTCCTGGGGCTCATAGGGGGACCCCCCACCAGCACCTCTCACAGCATGCCCCATCCCCATCTTGGGGCTCCTCACGGAGTTTGAAAGGATCTGTCGCCCCAGAGCGATAGCACAACAGGCCAGGCGCTTGCCTTGCATGTGGCCAACCTGGGTTCGAGCCGTGGCCCCACATATAGTGCCCTGTGCCCCACCCGGAGTGACACCTGAGCACAAAGCCAGGAGTAAGCCCTGAGTACTGATGGGTGCCCCCCCCAACAAAAAAAGCTTTAAAAACTAAATAGCGGGGCCACAGCTTAGGACAGGGCATGCCATGGCCAGTTTTTGGGTCTGGGGGCTGCACCTGATGATGCTGGCTGGGGGCGCCCCCTGGGAAGTGCGTGGGGGGACTGGTGGCTGCTCTGACTCACTACGGGAACCACGTGATGTCTAAAAGCCTGTGCTGGGGCCAGAGCCGTTTGCCTTGCACACAGCCAACCCGGGTTCGATCCCCGGCTTCCCACAGGGTCCCCCAAGCACCGCCAGAAGTGATTCCTGAGTGCAGAGCCAGGAGTCAGCCCTGAGCATCGCTGGGTGTGGCCCCCCGGAAACAAAACTAAACTAAAGCGCCTGTGCTCAGCCCTGGAGCCCCATCTGGCCCATCCTCTGGGAGGTTTTGGAGGCAAGTACTTAGTCTGCGTCCCCACATGGCTCAGGGTGGGACTGCGCTCACTCCCCACAGCACTGAGAGACACGTGGTCACCCCAATCGGGATCCCCTACTCCCCGTAAGACCAAATACCCGATAGGGGAGGGCACCCCGGGCCCGGATTGAGGGTGGAGAGGTAGAAGAGGCAGCTTGAAGCTCAAGAATCCTACTGTCGAGGAGGGCTGCTTACAGGGCAGGGAGAGACACATGCTTTCTCAGGGGGCACGCCTGAAGTAGCCCCTGAGCACTGCCGGGTATGGCCACCCTAACAAAATTAGCTCAAAAAATAGGTCCAGGGGCTGGAGAGATAGCACAGCGAGTAGGGCGTTTGCCTTGCAAGCGGCCGACCCGGGTTCGATTCCCAGCATCCCATATGGTCCCCTGAGCACCGCCAGGAGTAACTCCGGAGTGCAGAGCCAGGAGTAACCCTTGTGCATTGCCGGGTGTGACCCAAAAAGCAAAAAAAAAAAAAAAATAGGTCCAGGGGCTGGAGCAATAGCCCAGCAGGTAGGGCATTTGCCTTGAACACGGCCAACCCGGGTTCAATTCTCAGCATCCCATCTGGTGAGTGCAGAGCCAGGAGGAAGCCCTATGCATCGTCAGGTGTGACCCAAAAAGCAAAAAGCAAAAAAAAAAAAAAAATAGCCCAGAGGGGCCCAAGTGGTAGTGGCAACCGGTATGGCATTTGCCTGGCACATGATCAACATCAACCAGAGTTCAGTCCCCAGTGTCCCGGGGGGGAAGTGGGGACATCCAAGGGGGAGGTGAGGGTGTCCAGGGGGAGAATGAGGGCATCCTGGGGGAAGTGGGGGCATCTTGGAGGGAAGGGGAGGGCGTCCTGGGGGGGGTTGGGGGCGTTTATCTGGTCACCTGAGCACTTCCAGGGGTGATCCTGAGCATCACCAGGTATGACCCAAAACAAACAAAAAATGGGGCCAGAGGGCAGGGCACTTGCCTCGCACGTGGCAAACCTGGGTTCAATCCCCAGCACCCACATGGTGCCCCAAGCACCACCAGGAATGATCTCTGAGTGTAGAACAGGAGTGACCCCTAAGCAACACCAGATGTGACCAGAAACGAAAACAAAACAAAACAGCGTTGGGAGCCATCATCTTGGCTGGGTTTAGGAGCATTCCTACATCCCCTGGACTGGTCACTGAAGTCACTGTGAGGAGAAGCCGAGCACTGGACACAGAGTCAAAGGAAGCGGCCAGCTAAAGGGCAGAGGGCCCTGGACGTGCGGCTCCAGTCCTGGCCTGACTCCCTCCTCCACCTCCCGATGCTCCATTTCCAGAGTCCTCCATGATTCTGAGGGCCAAGACACTGAGCAACTTTGGGTGGGGGAGAGGGGAGGATGTGGCTGTGGAATTCACCTGGGAAGAGTAGCAGCACCCTCTGCAGGAATGGGAACCCAGAAACCCATGGTCCCCTGGAGACAACGGGACATTCACTGAAGCTGGAGAAAGAACAGAGCCGTGGATGGTCACCCCCCACAACAGCACCTCTCAAGCGGCCAAAGAAATGGCCCAGCTCAGGACTGACCTCAGGGAGACGACAGCAGCTGAGTTAGCCCAGGTTGGCTGGCTGCCTTACGGAGATGGGGCAGATTGAGTCCGTGCCCTGCCAAAACCTAGCGCTCTACCCACACCACTGTCAGCGAAACGGCCCCCGCTCAGGACTGATCTCAGAGAGATGCCGAGAGAAACCTGCAGTTTGTGTGTGTTATTGTTTTGGGAGCCACACCCAACGGTGCTTAGGGCTTACTCCTGACTCTGTGTGCAGGGACCACTCCTGGCAGACTCGAAGAACCAAATAGGATGCTGAGGATGGAACCCAGGTTGGCCACCGGCACAGTCAGCATCCTACCTGTGGTATTATCGCTCCGGCCCTGCAATTGACCGTCCTAGCGCCAAAGCCCTTGAAGCATGCGGCCGCAGATGCAGCCATGCAACACCTATGAGCTCACAGCCCCGTAGAAGCAAGAAAATCAGATGGGAAAATTGAGCAGAAGAGGCCCACTACACTCACAGAGTGAAAACAATAACACAGAAGGCCCAGCTCAGGAAACCCTCAGGACTGCAGCAACACCATCACAAGATAGATGCTGCAACCAGCAAGATCAAGGAAATGAATTAGGGTCTGCTCAGAGAGCAGGCTTGGGGGGGGGGGGAGGGTGGATGGAAAACGGGGGATGTTGGTGGAGGGAAGGGCACATGGGTAGAGGGGCTGGTGTTGGAATCTCGAATACCTGAAACAACTGTGTGGGGAACAACTCTGTAAATTACAGTGTTGAAATAAAGTTTCATGCAGAACCCAAAAAGAGCCCAGCATTGAACATGGGAGAGGAGAGACTGTCCGCGGCATCCTGGCGGGCAGAGAGGCCGACCCGGGCCCCCGCACTCCCCATCCCCCCAGACTCACCCGAACATGGCTGCCGTCTGCCGGGTGTTCTGCTGGGGCGGGGTGGAGGTGCTTGTGGAGAGCAGGGCGTCGGTGCCAGCCTTCTCCCAGTCAAAGGCCTCATTCTCTGCGATCCCCCGCTCCTTCATGCTGTTCTCGAACACTGACATGATCAGCTGGGGGAGGGGAGCCGGAGGAGGGAGGACAGAGAGGTGACCCTGGGGGCTAGCAAGAAGGAGCAGGCACTTGCTGGGATGGCGGGGTGGGGGAGAGAGGGGCCGTCCAGGAAAGGGGGCATTGGAAGGAGAAGGGCACATTGATTTTCAATGAAAACATGCAGAGGCTATGCAAATCACCATGCAAATGACTTGTTTAGGCCACACCCACACACCCCTCCCTGCTGGACATTGGCCTGAAATCGGGGCCCTTTGCTCCCTGCCCTGTCCCTTCAGCCACTTCCAGTCTCTCAGCAGAACAAACTCCGTGTGTTTCCCAAGCCTGCCACCTGGCCTTCCACCTTTCCCACAACCTGACCCCTCCGAGGCCTTCCTTGATGCCCCCTACTGCTGACCCGGGAGTGTGGGGCATGAGGTCTGGGCCGGTCTGGAGTGTTGGGATCTGGTAGGTTCTACAGTGCACGGCCAGCAGGGGCCCAGAGGGGCACCCTACACCTGTATGGTCTGGGCTCCAGCACCACCCCAAGGTCAAATTAGGATTGGGGGGCCTCATGGCTCTCTGCCCAGGACCAGGACTGTGGTTCAGGGGATTTGGGGTGCGGAGCTGCCGACCAGCCTGCTGCTAACCGCTCTCCCCAGAACATCCAGCTGGTGCTCTGCCGGAAGCAGCCACTTCAGTGAGCAGCCACTTTACCCAGCTTACTCTGTGTCTGACATGAGGTAGAACAAGGCTGTTGGGGTCAGGGGGATCTCCCAGAATGAGGGGCTTTTGGAAGGGCTCTGGGCATGGAGGGAGAAGATTGGCCCAGCCCTGCCCTAACCACCTTTGGGCCCCAGTTTGCCTATCCAGGAGATGGGAATAATCATGCCACTTGGTCCTCTGCAGAGTTGGGGTGTAAAGTCTTTAGGATGACCTGGGCTAGGGGACTGGAAGAGGCCAAGGGGCTGAGTGCATGCTTCAAATGCAGGAGTCCCAGGTTCAACCCCCAGCACTGCATGGTCTCCTGAGCACCACTGCCAAGAGGAGCACTTCAACACTGCTAGATGTGACCCAAAAAACAACACCGAGATTAATTAAATCAAGCACTTGGCCTCATGAATTGTTAAGTGCTAGATCAGTAACACAAGTACACTCGTTGTCACAAAAGGAAAGTAAAAATGTTTAGAAATGGTGGGGCTGGAGCGATAGTACAGCGGGTAAGGCGTTTGCCTTGCACGCGGCCGACCCGTGTTCAATTCCCGGCATCCCATATGGTCCCCCGAGCACTGCCAGGAGTGGTTCCTGAGTGCAGAGCCAGGAGTGACACCTGAGCATCGCCGGGTGTGACCCAAAAAGCAAAAAAAAAAAAAAGTTTAGTAATAGAAATGCTTCCTACAAGAACGAATGCAGGAAAAGTAATGCATTTAAAAAAAAAAAAGGAACAGATACATTTGTGGTGAGACATAGCTGCTGTTTATAAAGGGGCCACGTTTCTGTGTAGCGGGAAGACTAGGGGAAACGCTCAGGACCGCATGGCAGGGTATTTGGGCCAGAGAGATAGTACAGCGGGGAGGGCGCTTGCCTTGCATGCAACTGACCGAGGGCCAATCCCCTGCACCCCGTATGGTCCCCTCTAGCACTGCCAGGAGGAGCCCTGAGTGTAGAGCCAGGAACAAGCCCTGCACACCGCCGTGTATGGCCCCCAAACATAAGCAGTGAACAGAGCGGCAGGTGTTGGCCTCAGCAGGCCCCCAGCTCAGAAGGAGGCATTGGCGAGTGGGCGGAGGGGTGCCGGCACCTGGTAATCCGGCTTCGTGAAATAGTCCAGGCTGGCGATGTGATCCAGGAAGAGGTGGAACTCCGAGGGCATGTGCTTCAGCAGCATCCGGTGCTCGTACTTCTCCTTGATCATGCCGACCTGCTCCTGCAGGCACACAGACAGGGGGAGGTAGAACCCCGGATGCCACCCCTGGCCCCCGGCCGGCCCTGCCACCCCTCCTCAGGCCCACCTGGCCTGCTCACCTTGTCCTTGATCTTCCTCCAGGGCAGCTGGCCCACAGCAAATTCCACCAGCATGTAGAAGAGGGACCACAGGTCGTCATGGCGACCCATCTCCTGGTGGGGCACGGGGGGTAGGGAGGGGGTACAGCTCTCAGGGTCCTCCCTGGAAAGGAGGGCTGACCACAGAAGTGCCACATGCAGGCCCTAAGATGGAACTGGGATTTTTTCTGAGACCATGGTCGTTCACAACAGTGCATGGCCCCTGGGTTTGCTCCCCCACACCGGGATGGGGTGCCCCGAAGCTGGAGTGTGTGCCTGCGGGAGGGCTCAGGTCCAATCCCCAGCAACCCCAGCACCGCTGCCAGAGGCCCCGGTGGCCTCCAGCACCATCAGGCTGAGCACTGAAACAGTGAGGTCACCACACTGGGCCAAGTATTCCTTACACTGGTCCCTGCATCCCCAAACAAGTGCTTGGGTCTGAGCATGGGAGTGCTTGCCAGGCCTGTGCAGGAACCTGGGTTCCATTCCCGGCTCCACAGAGCACACACACACACTGAGAACCTTGTATGCTTTACCATCCCATGGGAATGGGCAATGACCATCAAAAGAACATCCCCGAGGCTGGAACGATAACACAGCAGGTAGGGCGTTTGCCTTGCACGTGGCCAACCCCGGTTCAATTCCCAGCATCCCATATGGTCCCCCGAGTACCGCCAGGAGTAATTCCTGAGTGCAGAGCCAGGAGGAACCCCTGTGCATCACCGGGTGTGACCCAAAAAAAGGGGGATCCCCACCCCCGCTCCTGCCCCCAGCAAGGACCAAGAGTCTGAAGAACCGCTTCTCCCACATTGGGTGTCAGCTGCTGTCTCTGCCCCAGCCCCCCAGTGGGCTTGGCCACTCACCCGGTTCTTATGGGCATTAACTGAGGCATAGCGGACGGTCCCTCGAAACCCAGCCACGTTGCGAGGCTGCAGAGGAAAAAAGAACTAGGGTCCTCTCCCATGCCCCTCCCAACCCTGCTCGCCAGCCCGGCCCTGCCTGCAGGATCCTGACCACCGCCCCCCCAACCCCTCCACTCCATCAAAGTATCCGCAGAGCCAGCCTGATGCACCAACCCCAAACCCACAAGCCCTCCTGGCCCCACTCAGGGCCTGCACTCACCGTGACCGGGAGCCCAGGCTAAGGGACAGGACAAGACCCAGACTTAGAGGATGCGGGCACTGGCCCCCCACAGCAAGAAAAGCAGTGACTCCCCAGGGGGGGCCCAGGAGCAGCTACTCACGGGTCGAACGTCCCCCGTGGTGTTGGTATACTGCCGGGCTAGTCCAAAATCCAGCATGTAGCACTTCCGGTAGGTGGAGGGGAGCCGGCCCATGGCAAAGTTAGACTACAATGGGACAGGCAACATGAGCCGTGGGCATCCCCTGCCGCCCACATCAGAGGCACCAGCAACAGCTAACGGGGCAGACGGCTGGGCCCACAGACAAGACCCCTTCCCCCTTGTGTCCTCGGGCCGAGGGAGCCAAATTCTGAGCCAGGACTGGGTCTCCTATTTAATTTATTTTATATTCTTTACTTTTGTGTGTGTGTTTGGGGGGGAGGATGCTTGGGAACCACACCTTGGCAGCGCTTATGGGCTGCTCACAGCAGTCCTCGGGGGACCATAAGTGGCACCGGGATGGATCTGGGGTCAGGTGTGTGTGTCAGGCAGCTGTGTTACCTGCTGTACTGTCTCCCGGTCCCTCTTCTCATTTGAGATGAGGGAGGGAAGGGGTTAAAAAAAAAAAAAGAGGAGGGAGGCCAGAGTGATTGCCTTGCATGCCTCCGATCTGGGCTCAATCCCCAGCATCCCATATGGTCCCCTGAGCATCCCCAGGAGTTATCCTGAGTGCAGAGCCAGGAGTAACCCCTGAGCATCGCTGAGTGTGGCCCCAAAACTCAAAGAGGGGTGGGGGTCTCCAAGGTCACACAGCAGCGAGGACCCGGGGGCTGGGGGTCTCGGCCTGAAGCCCGGGGCTCAGCGTGGCTCAGCGTGGTGTCCTGTTCTAAGGCCGCAGGAGCCCCGTAGCCCTCTCACCTTTCAGTCTGTGGCCCTGGGGACTGGAGATGTTTTCCTGGCACCAGAGCCAAGAAGTCACAAAAGCAGCAACTTGCAGTTCCTGAGCTGCAGCCACTGAACCTTCCCTCAGGCCCCGCCCATGTCCCCTCTCGAGGGCTCAAGGTCAGAGGAGTGGAGAGGAGAGAGAGAAGAGAACAGAGAGGGCAGGGGAGGCTACAGAACGGCGATGGGGGGGGAGGGGAAGAAGTTGTCCTCCCACCCACCCAATTTCTATTCCGGAGAGGACGGGGGAGGGGGCTACTCTGGGGGGAGCGCGTGCAGTGGCCTCACCGGCTTGATGTCGCGGTGCAGGAAGCCCACCGAGTGGATGGCCTCGATGGACTCCAGGATCTGCTTGCCCAGCCGCAGCGTGGTGCTCAGCGTGAAGGTGCCTCGTGGCTGACTGCGGCGCAGGTCAGCCAAGTTTCGGCCCTGGGTGGGGGGGGGGGGGGGGCGGAGGGAGCACTCAGTGGTCATCCTGACCCCCGCCCAACCCCCTGGGTTCTGCACAGCCTGGCCCCCAGCAGCTCATACCCACTTCCCACTCCTGCAGGGACTCCCATTACCCCCTGCGCACACACACACACACACACACACACACACACACACACACACACAGACTCCCGCCCTGGGTGCACAGACAGACAGACAGACACCCTGGCCCTCACCTGCAGCTGCATCACCACGTAATTGAACTTCTCGTTGCGGCCACAGCCAATGAACCTGCACACATGGTCTTTACCTGAGGGGCAAAGACAGTAGCTCAGCCCCCACCCCGTCCTCCTTGCCTTTGCCTTTTTCTTTTCTTCCTGTCTGCCCGCCTGGCAGGACGCAGGGGACCATATGAGGTGCCGGTGAAGTTGGGTGGGTCACGTGCGAGGCAAGCGCCTTTCCTGCTGTATCTTCGCTCTAGTCTCACCTGTGCTGCTTAAATATTTACTTTGATGCTCAACTAAAGAAATTGTTTCTGGCAGAAAGAAATTCAGAGATTCTTCTTTCATTAGATTCTTTTTTTTTTTTTTAAGTGTTTGGGCCATACCTGGCTTACTCCTGGCGCTGTGCTGTGGGGATCACTCCTGGCATTGCTCAGGGGACCATATAGGATGGATGCTGGGGATTGAACCCTGGTCAGTCACAAGCAAGGCAAGCGTCCTACCTACCTGCTGTACTATCTCCCCAGCCCTATTTATTATTTTCTTTCAGGTCCTCCCCAGCTGGACCTCGGTCAGCCAAGCAGGTGCGCCAAGCCCGAGTCCTCCTTCCTCACAGATTCCTTCTTCTCTCAATCAACCCCAAGGGCTCCCTGCATGCTCCCTGCCTGCCTGACATCTCTCTTACTCCCACCTAGTCTAGAAGGGCACTTAGTTCCATCCTCACTCTTAGGCTCGTCCTCCTGGAGCCCCGGCCCCACCCACTGGCCGCTGGCATCGCCCGCCCTGCCCACACACCTTGCAGCTTTTTGAGCACAGCCACCTCCATCTTGAGGACTTGCTTGGGCTGCTGGGCCGACTCCACTTTGAGGGCCACATTCTCTCGGGTCAGCAGGTCCATGGCCTCGTAGATCTCACCGAAGCCCCCACCTCCGATCTTTTTCAGCTGGAGAGACAGGGGTGAGGAGTAGGGGGCAGGGATCAGGCTGAGCATGGTCACACCCCACCCGCTTCGGGGTGGCATCTTCCCTGGGGGGGGGGCGGGGGCGGAGACTCTATGAAGGGGAGGACAGTGTCTCCCTTCCTGCACCCACCCCCCACCTGGGTGCTCAGTCCAGGGGTGGGCAGCCACATGCACGCACGCACTCGAACATACATACACATGATCCCACGCACTTGCATACATGCGCACACTCATATCCACGTTTGCATACACACGCATGCACACGCTCGCACACACATGCGAGCCACAGAGCCACAAAAGTGATGCACACACTTATATACACGGTGCACACGTGCATATGTACACACGAGCATGCACAGATACAGATAGGTGCACACATGCGTGTGCACACTGCGTGTTCATGTACAACATGCAGTTTACACAAGCACGTGCGTATGTGTATGCTTGTATGTGTATGCTTGCATGTGTACACATATGCATCAGATGTCAGAGTGGGTGGTGAAAGACTGGAGACCAACTGTAGGCAGACGTGGAGACCCGTCTGGGTGGGAGTCAGGAGATAACAGGCCCTCTAGACCTTCTCTGGAGGACACCCTCAACCCCACCACTACCACCTCTCCCTCCCTCCAGAAGGAAAACCAGTTTCCGGAGCTCCCGGCTTCTTGCGGAGCCCATGGGGGAAGCAGCCGGGGCTGGCAGTCTTCCCTGAAGGCTGTCCCCAGAGGGAGAGTGGGAGTGGAGGACATCGTCCAGCAAAGGGCGTTCACTGCCCAGACCCACATGCCCACCTGAGCCTTCTCTCAGGGCAGGGGGGCTGCAAGAGATTGGCAGGAGGGAGACATCTGGTACAGGACAGGGCCATGGACAGCTGGCCCAGGGTGAGTGCCCAGGGAAGGCAGGGGACACGCAGCAATGGACGAAGGATGGGCAAGGGGGAAGAGTCAGCTAGCCAGTCCTTCCCAGTCAGGCCCCAAGGTCATGGAGAGTGAGGGGGAGGTGGCAGTGATGGGGACTGGGGAGGAGGTGCCAAGATCTGAGAAGGTCTCACTACGGCTTAGGATACACCTCAGGGCCAGAGAGATAGTAATTGCACACAGCCAACCCGGGTTTGATCCCAGCATCCCATATGGTCCCCTGAGCACCGCCAGGAGTAACCCCTGAGCATCGCCAGGTGTGGCCCAAAACACACAAAAAAGATGTACATCTCAGTTCTCAGCTACCCAGGCAGCCTGTCCCTCCAGGAGGTCTCTCCCCAGCCCCCGCCAGCACCCCCTCCACCTTCCCCTCCACCTTCACGTCCTGTGGCCTCCCCACTCATAAGAGCAGCTGGGCTGGCCAGTGAGCACCCAGGCCGCTCTGCCGAGCAGCTGGCCCTCTCGGAGTCTCCCAATCTCTGACTGAGCCCTTGTCTAGCATTTACTCAGCATCACTCGGTGCCCCATAAATGTTTAATGGCTCAAGATAAATGTTGATGTGTGAATGGAGGGGCGCCGGGGCGGGGGCAGGGCTAGGCAGGGCAAGGCAGACTTCCCAGCAGCTAATAATGGGAACCCCTGCTAGAAAGCAGAGAGGAGACTGGAGGGAGGATTTCAGAAGAGGAGTGGAAGGCTGTGGGGATCTGGAAGGTTCTTGGGTCCAGGAAGGGACGGGGAAAGAGGACGGAGGAAGAACTCTAATAAACCAGAGTCTATGACCGCTTGAGGTGCCAAGGGAGACTTGGAGGAGAGTCTCAGAACCAAGAGCATGTCGATGCACAGGGGAACCATGGCCTGTCTTTCTCTGGGGAACCTCAAACTCAGGGGAGCTTCTGCTCTCTTCTAGATTCCTCTGCAGTTTGCCGTGTGTACGCACAGAGGAAAGGGCAAGGGAGAGGGAAGTGCCCCCTATCTGATCCAGACTCACAGACACCACCTCAGTTCATGCCCCCAAGACTCCAAGGCACACAGACTGGGCAGCTGGAGGGAGAGATAGTCAGGTGTTTGCCTTGCACACAGCCGATTTGGGTTTGATCCCTGGAACGGCATAGGGTTCCCCAAGCACTGCAAGGTGTGATCCTTGAGCAGAGAGTCAGGAGTCAATCCTGAGCATCAATGTCTGTTACCCTCACACCACCACATACAAACAAAGCAGAAAAAAAAAAAAGAAGAAAAAGAAAAAAACTTCCAGCAGCTCAGACTGAAGAAGGAAGGTCAGTGGAATCCCCCCTTTTTTTTTTTTTGCTTTTTGGGTCACACCCAGCGACACACAGGGGTTACTCCTGGCTCTGCAATCAGGAATTACTCCTGGCGGTGCTCAGGGGACCATATGGGATGCTGGGAATCAAACCCGGGTCGGCCGCGTGCAAGGCAAACACCCTACCGCTGTGCCATCGCTCCAGCCCTGGAATCCCCCATTTTGCACAGAAGGAAAGTGATGATGCAGTTAGGGACCTTGTCTCAGTGCTGTTGACATAGCAGAGTCACGTTTCATTTGCTTATTTTGTTTTTATTTTGGTGCCACATCTGACAGTGCTTACTCCTGGCTCTACACTCAGGGATCCCTCCTGGTGGGGCTCGGAGGGACCCTGTGGGTGCTGGGGATTGAACCCAGGTTGGCTGCATTCAAGGCAAGCGGCCTCCCCACTGGCTTATTGCTCCCGTCCCCAATTCAGGCGATCCAATGCAGAACACAGTCTTCACCTGGGTGTTCATGGACTGGGGGGCCGAGCTGGAATAAAGTGAGCAGGGGCCAGAGCATACTTGTGTGCAAGTATTTCGTGCACATAGCCGACCCAGGTTTCATCAAACCTGGGTCTTCCATGCCCTACCAGGAGTGATCCCTGAACACAGAACCAGGAGTGAGTTCTGAGCACTGTCAGGTGGGCACAACAAAAGAAAACAAACAGACCCCATGCCACCCGGCCTGCCTTTTTCAGGATCCCCTCCCTAACTGAAGGAACTCTCTTGGGGCTGGAGCGATAGCACAGTGGGTAGGACGTATGACTTGTATGCGGCCGACCCGGGTTCGATTCCCAGCATCCCATATGCTCCCCTGAGCACCGCCAGGAGTGATTCCTGAGTGCAAAGCCAGGAGTAACCTCTGAGCATCGCCAGGTGTGACCCAAAAAGGAGGAAAAAAAAAAGACCTCTCTGAACTGCAGGTGGAATATGACCCGATGGGACCAGATTTCACAAAGCATTGATGGAAACCTGATGTTCTTGGCCCAGCTCTGGTGCACTGGGGTGAGTTTCTGAAATTCTGAGCTTTCCATTTTCCTCCTGAGTAGAATGATAGCCTGGGACTAGAGCTGGTGAAAGCATCCTTCGCTCTGTGATTCTGATTCTGGGCCCGGCCAGTCCTGGGCAAACAGTAGAGCCTGCTGGCCACTGAGCCAGCAGTCACACAGACCTGATTCCCCTGACCTATCACAAGAATCTGGCAGGGTAGCGCATCTCTCTGCCTCAGTTTCCACACTTGCAAATCAGGGATAATTATACTATAGTGTCTATTCCATAGGTGTTGGGATCATGCAGGTAAGGCACATTTTGTTCTTTTTTTTTTTGTTTTTGGGCCATACCTGGCAGTGCTCAGGGCTTACTCCTAGCTCTGCACTCAGGAATCATTACTGGTGTTGCTCTGGGGTGCTATATCCAAATGGGGTGCCAGGGATTGAACCCAGGTTGGCGGTATGCAAGGGAAACACCCTGCCAGCTGTATTATTGCTCTGGCATGAAATACTGCAGATAAGGCATTTTGGATAGTTCCTGGAAACAGTAAGAGTTTAAATCAAGGGGCTGGAGTGATAGCAGAGCGGGTAGGGCATTTGCCTTGCACGCGGCCGACCTGGGTTCGATTCCCAGCATCCCATATGGTCCCCTGGGCACCGCCAGGAGTCATTCCTGAGTGCATGAACCAGGAGTAACCCCTGTGCATTGCCGGGTGTGACCCAAAAAGCAAAAAAAAAAAAAGAGTTTAAATCAAACGCTAAGGTTTCTTTTTAGTGTTAGTATATGTCCTTCTGTTGCTGAGAGCACTTTTCCCACGAGCAAAGTGTCACTATTGCTCCAGGACTCCACCCAGTGCCTCAGACCCTCATTTTCCTCCTGCCACTGTGCAGCTCTGGGGGCTTGTTCTGGATCCCTGTGCTTCCAGCCTCTCTCTCCACTCCCTCCACTGGGTGCAGGTGTGTGTGTGGGTGGGTGGGGGAGGGGCGAAGGGGACGGCTAACACCCCATGCTGTCCTTTTGGTTCTCTGAGGGCTGGGAGGGAGAGGGGGTTAAAAAGAGGTCGAGGTCCTGGCACTGATGCCAAGTTCGCCCCTTCCCCAGCTGGCCCCTTGCCATTTCTCTCTCCCTTCACCTTCTGCCTCCTCCTTCACAACCAAGACAAGGCCAACCAGCACTAGCTCAGCATGTAAACCCACATAACCAGACCTCTTCAATGCAAAAGTCCTTCTCTCCTCCTCCACGTGGTCAGGCTAAACGCTACTGAGAGAACCCAGAGGCTCTGGGATCATCTTTCCTCCCTTCACCCCCCAGCCATGCCCCCCTTCGCCCCGTGGCCACGCTCATTCCTCTCATCACAATTCTGGACCCCCTTCTGCCCCCATTTTCTGCCGTCTTCCTCTCTCTCTTCTGCAGTTCTCCCTTGAGCATAAAAAATTCCTCCCTGGGGCTGGAGAGATAGCACAGCGGGTAGGACGTTTGCCTTGCACGCGACCGACCCGGGTTCGATTCCCAGCATCCCATATGGTCCCCTGAGCACCGCCAGGAGTAACTCCTGAGTGCAGAGCCAGGAATAACCACTGTGCATCGCCAGGTGTGACCCAAAAAGCAAAAAAAAAAAAAATTCCTTCCTGGCCCGAGCGATAGTACAGTGGGTAGGGCATTTGCCTTGCATGCAGCCAACCTGGGTTCAATCCCCAGCATCCCAGAGGTCCCTTGGAGTTTTCCAGGAGTAATTCCTGAGTGCAGAGCCAGGAGGAACCCCTGAGCACCTCCAGGTGTGCTCCACCCCTCCCCGCTAAAAAAAAGAAATCTCCTTCCCTCCTGCCCCACCCTCTCTCCCACCAACCAACGCCCTTCAGTCCCAAGGGCTTCTCTGGCTGGACAATCCCTGGGCTATTAGGGGTCCAGTGGCCAGGGGGTGTTGCCATGGAGACCCCACTCTCCTCTCAACCTCTCACCCCTGCTGAGCTGGACCTGCCTCCCCTCCCCACCAATAATTCAGTGCTGACTATTGTGTCCCCCGCTTCCTTCGTCCTGGCTCCCTACTCTGGTGCAGACCCACAGTGAGCCCCACACCATCCCTCCCCCCTCCCAGGAAGATAAAGAGGATTCCGGAGCGAGCGCTCTGGGAGATGCGGGGGGGGGGGGGGCGGGGAGAGGCAGGAATTGGTCTCCAACAGGACCCACTCATCAGAGACGGTCTCCCCCCCACGACCCTCACGTGGCCCTCTCCCCACGCGCCCAGCCCCCCGCCCCAGGGAGCTCGGACTACAACTCCCGGCAGGCAAAGCAGCCCGAAGTGCTGGGCTGCGGGAGCAAGGCACCCTGGGAGATGGAGTCTCGGCGTGTTGCACCTGCCGCAGGAAGCCGCGAGGGGAGGAGGGCGGCGGGCGAGAAGGAGCGAGGCTGCGCTGGGAGCCGGCTGCGGAGCCTCTTTCCCGAACCTCCGCGGAAGCGGCGGCCTCCCCGCCCTTCCCCAAGGTCCGGCGGAGAAAGAACCCCCTCCCCCACCGACCCCCCTCCCCCCAGCACTCCTCCCCCCCCCCCCCCCCCCCCCGCCCCGCGCTCTGCAGCTCCGGCTCCGGCATCCAACCAGGAGTTGTTCCAGGCTGGGCCCGACCAACATGACCCAGCGGGGAAAGGGGGAGCGAGGCAGCTGGGGTTGGGGGGGGCAGGCTCGGGGGAGGCGACTGTGCACCAGTGTAGACAAAATTCAAGGCTCCGCAAGCATCATGCAGATGAGACAGGGGCACCTCCCTCCAGTGGTAGGGGCGGGGGGGGGGGGGGTTGTACCGCCGGCCGGATCCTCTCCTGCCCCCCGCCCTCGGCCCCTCCCACTGCCCCGCGGGGTCACTAACTCACCACCTTCCAGCGATCCTTGACCACGTAGTTGGCCGGCAGGATGTCGGCCTGCTCCCCTCCCCCACTCATGTTGGTTTCGTCCTTAAGAGCAGCCGCTAGGCACTGCATCCGCCAGCCGGAGGGAGGGGTGTCCGCAGGGCCTGCCCTGGGGGGGCCATCTACCTGGAGAGTGCGGAGGGGCTGTGAATGGGGCGACTCTGGACCCGGGGTCACTTGGCGGACTGATAGAAGCACCCCCCTAGTCCTGGCTGGCAGCCTCCCTGGCCCACTGGGCACATTCTCCAGCGGGAAGCGCTAAGTGAACACCCCCGTGGAGGTCAGAGGAGACGAGAATTACAAGTAGCGGTGGGACAGCGGTCCCCGCGTGCGGATGGGGCAGAGAGGGGCGGTGGGGGGAAGGAGTTCGCCAAGACATGCTGACAGCAGGGAAGCAGCCTAGACTGGGACCCACCTTGTGAAAGGGAGCCGGGGCGGGGACCCCGGGGGAGGGAAGGAACAGTTTCAGGGATTTCCTCCGTGACCCCAAAGCACCCACCCGTTTGCTATGCCACAGAAAGCCTGTGCAGCCCAAGGAGAAGAAGGGACCCGTGGGCCAGGCAGCCCCGAGCTGCTCTCGCCCAGGGGGTGCTGCTGACCGAGAACACGGGAGGAGCCTGGAGATGGAGGCAGGGAGGGGAGCCCAGCTCGGGGCAGCACAGCCCCTCCGCACAGAAGGGGGCAGATGCGGTGACTGTGATGGGCTAGACCGGAGTCTGGAGAGAGAGTCCGGCGGAAGTGGGGAAAGACGGGGAGCGGTGGGCCAGAATGCCAGGGAGCTGCAGGTCACTGGGTAGGGGGGAGTAGTCGCCACTGACCACACCTTTCTGTGGCTGCTCAGGGCCAGCAAGAAGGAACATAGCACTAGGGAGGGCAGCAGTTGGCTATCGTGGTGTGTTTGTATGCATCTGTGGAGTCTGTGTGTGTGCTAAGGTGCAGTTTTGTGTCTGCTGGTGTGTGATGGGCAGGTGTGCAGGCAAGGGGTAAGAGATGCTTTGTGAGATCGCTGCCACGCTAGCAAGGAGTGAGCACCAGGGCCTTTTCATCCCCCTTCCTCCTGCACTTGTTCTCTGCTTATTGCCCGGCCCTCACTGTGACACTGGATGACAGGTTGGGAGAGAGGGCAGGAAGAGGGAGCCAAGTCCCTGAGGCTGGTGTGGGGACCCCCTTCATGCGTCATGGTGTGCCGTGGACATGTGGGAGAAGGGAACCATCACGGGGACAGTAGCTGTCACTCTCTTTGTTCAAATGACCTGGCTGACTGCTCCAGTCCACAAGACTTCAGGGCACAAGGCGGTGGAGACAAAGAGGCCTCCTTAGGCTACTAAGGCGAGGCCAGGGAGGGCAAAGGAGGTTCTAGAGAGAAGGTGGCAGAGATGGAGTAGGACACAACGAAGGGTTGGGAGAAAACTGAAGAGACCACCGAAGCAGCTGGCAAGGGGTGAAAGAAACAGAAGTAGGTGCGCTCTGGGGGGCTTCCAGGGCCTGGGAGCTGGAGTCTATGGACTGACGGGGAAATTTGGTTCTGTTTCCGTTTTTATGGATGGGTAAGCCTCAAAGGGAGAGGTGAGGTGGGGAACGGGAGCATAGAGGCAAGAGGCTTAATGAGGGCCACTTGTCTCTCCCTTAGCCCCGAGGAGCACACTCAGCTCACACTAGGGTTGGACCCCACAAACTTCAGGAATCTGCCACCCCCTCAGGACCTTGGGTGTGGAGAGGGGACTTGTGAAGGAGGAGGTCTCGAATAGCAGTGACAGCATGCACACAAGCAAGTGTGGTGTCTATGGTGTGTGTGTGTGTGTGTGTGTGTGTGTGTGTGTGTGTGTGTGTGTGTCAGAGAGAGAGAGAGAGAGAGAGAAAGAGAGAGATCTACCTAGGAACTTCTCTGGCGGTGGGGTAGGTGCGGATGTGCAGCTATGTGAAGTGTGTTTGCGAATGTGGGTGCACAGGAAGGAGCGGAGACCGGCGAGGAGTAATGGGAACAGGTGAACAGAGGTGTGGAAGTGGGCTGAGGGGGGAGGAAGGGACGAGTGATGGATGAGAGGGGGGGGTTGGGAAAGAAACAGACAGCAGAGATCAGAATGACAGGTGAGGGGGCGAGGGGACCGCGAGAGGGAGTGAGGAATGGAGGGAGGAGAACAGGAGAGAGAGAGAGGTTATGGAGCCGGTGGGGAATGGGTGCCCGGAGGTGGCGCCTTGGGGTCGGAGGGCTGTGTGCGGGGGCAGGGAGCGCTCCAGGCCCGGGATGCGGCCCAGGCGGTGTAGGCCAGCGTCCCCGGGGCGGCGATGGCAGCAGGGAGGGGGAGCTGGAGAAGGCAGCGGGGCGAACCAGGCCCGAGGCCCGGCTGGCCCGGGGCAGGAGCCCCCCGCCGCCCCCCGCCCTGCGGCCCCGCCCCGCTCACCTGCTTTGTGCCCGCTGCGGCTGCGGCTGCGGCGGCGGCGGCGGCGGAGGCAGCGGCTCGGGGCGGCGCATCCCCCGGGGCCGGGGCGGGGCGGGGGCGGGGGCGGCTCAGTGCGGCGCTGGGCGGCCCGCTCCCTCCGGCGGCGGCGGCGGCGGCCTCCCGACCCGGACCATCCCGGCCCGGCCCGGCCCGGCCCCGATCCTTCTCGGGCGGCGGCAGCGGCAGCGGCGGCGGCGGCGGCGGCGGCGGCAGAGCGGGGAGCTGCCCACAATGCACCGCGCCGCCAGCATCAGCACCAGCCCTGACATCACCCGCCCCCCGCCCGCCGCTGACATCACCATCAGTGCTCTGACATCACGTTCTGCCCCGCGCCCGTCGCCCGGGCCCCCCCGCCGCGGGCTCTCAGTTTTTCTTGCTCGTCTCTGCAGTGACTTGCCACCTCTCCCCCTGGAAGGCCCCATCACTTCTTACCTGTCCCCGTGAAGCTCACCTGTGTCCATACCTGTGATTATCCTTTCCACTCCATGAGGGTCCCAATCACTGTTCACCTGTCCCGTCAGCCTGAACTGATCTGGTCCATCCGCCATACCTGCATGTTTTCCTCTAAATTCAGTCCCCGGCAGCCTCCCTGACCTCCCTCTCCCCATTGCTCCTCACAGACCCTCCCCCATAACTCCAATACCCACGCACGCGCGCCCGGACACGCACACTTGCGCACACACGCACACATTCACACAGGTATGCACACACGCGTGCACACATATACAGGTGCAGACTACCTCCTTGCACCATCCTCACTCTCTGACACTTTCTTCCATCTGTTGATGGAATTCTGCCATTGTTCTTTACTTCCATACCCCTGGATTTTGGGGGGGGGGGGTGACGCACCAGGCTGTGGTACTTGAGGTTTCATATTCGGTGGCCCAGATTAAATCAGGTTGGCTGCTTTTTGGCAGAGTCTCCTGCCCCCGCGCCTGGCTGTCCTCACCGAGGCCCCATGGAGGGGGCGGGTTGAGTTTCCCTTCCCACCCGGAGCAGAGCACTGGCAGCCGAAGACCTCCAGAACCAGCCACAGCCGTGCTGAGACCACTCTCCACATGTTCGGACAAGCCTCATGCATGAAGGAACCGGCAGAGGAACCCAGGCAAGCGGGTCCCGGGGCTGAGATATCCAAGCTTGCTTGGATCAGGACTGGGCCTTCTTCACCCAGATCCCCCATCTTCCAGTAGGAAGGCATTACACCCACCAGCTGCCGCCAGCGCCAGGTGGTCCCATCAACGACCAAGACCCAGAGACTATAAAACCCAGCTCCCGGAAGACATCTTATTATCTAGTTCTTACTCTGGAGAACCCGGCAGGCTACTGAAAGTATCCTGCCCGCATGGCAGAGTCTGGCAAACTTCCCGTGTTGTACTCAATATGCCAAATACCAGTAACAATGATAGGTCTCGTTCTCCTAGCCCTGAAAGAGCATTGAATATGGCTCTTTTAAAATCTCAGGGCTAGGAAGAAGGAGATGCTACTGGTGCCTGCTCGTGGTAATCGACGAACAACAGGATGATCATGATCGTGATCGTGATCGTGATCACGACAGCTTATTAGGCAAGGACCTTTACTCCTGCACTATTTCTGTGGCACTGTTCCTTACTACTTCCTTTTTGTTTTGGTTTGTTTTGGGGCCCACACCAGGTGATGACATTTCTAGCTCTGTACTCAGGAGTGACCCTGGTGGTGATGGGGAACCATATGTGGCATCAGGATTTGAACCAGTGTTGGTCAGATGCAAGGCAAGTACTGTCTCTCTGGCCCACCATTCCTTACTTCTTTTTTTTCCTCTTTTTGGGTAGCACCCAGTGATGCTCAGGGGTTCCTCCTGGCTCTGCACTCAGGAATCACTCCTGGCGGTGCTCAGGGGACCATATGGGATGCTGGGAATCGAACCCGGGTCGGCCACGTGCAAGGCAAACGCCCTACCCGCTGTGCTATTGCTCCAGCCCCCCCCCTTTTTTTCTTTTTGACCCTTCCTTACTTCTTACGAAGAAACATATACTTATGTTACTACAATATTAAAAATTCTCCCTAACAACTCCCTCGAGAGAATTGAGGATTGTTCAACATTTTCTGTATGTCCTTTATACTACATGTACTTTATCTGGCTCCCAGATCCTTCCTCCTATCTTTAACACCTTCAACCAGCGCATCTCCAGTAACAATAACAATGGCAGTAATTATGCCAACAGCAATTTATTCCTACCACACACTGTTCTGACAGATATATTAAGCCATTTAATTCTCATGACCACCCTGTGAAGTAGAAGTGATACTGTTGTACCCATTTTACAGATGAGGAATAGAGAGGTTGAGTAATTTGCCTTAGGTCACACAGCTCCAAACTTCATGATTTTATTTGTTTATTTTATTTAGTTTTGGTTTGGGGGTCCACACTGTCCTGCTGGACACTCCCAGCAGTGCTCAGGGGTTACTCCTGGCTCTGCATTCAGGAATCATTCCCATTGGGCTCGAGGTACCAAATGGGATGCTGAGAATCAAACCCAGGTCAACTGAGTGCAAGACAAGCTCCCTTCCCTCTGTACTATTGCTCTGACCCCACATAATTTTATCTTAATTTTTTTAAGTTTAGTTTTGGGGGTCCACACCTGGTGATGCTCAGGGCCTACTCCTGGGTCTGTGTTTAGGGGTCATTCCTGGTGGTGCTCAGGGGGACATGTGATTCTGGGGTCGGACCCTGGCTTTGAGCATGCAAAGCATGAGTTCAGCCATTTGAGCTCTCTCTCTACTGACGCAAACACTTGAAATCCAATTGAAATAGAATGACCTCTGAGTCTGGAAGAAGCGAGGAGACCACAGAGGAGGTACAATCAGCTGTGATTTGAGGGGCCAAAGCAACAGTACAGCGAAGAGGGTGCTTGTCTTGCCTGAGGCTGATTCAGTTTCAATGTCCGGCATCCCATATGGTGCCCCAGCATGGCCAGGGATAATTCCTGAGTGCAGAGCCAGGAGTAACCCTGTAATGCTCAAGGACCTCTCCTGGCAGGCTCCATATGTGGAGCTGGAGATTAAACCTAGGTCATCTGCATGCAAGGCAGACACCGGACCTGCTGTACTCTCTCCGGCCACGCCAGATCAATACAGATTTTCCAACAGATAAATGAATGGAGCCATGACAGAGAGAAGAGAGTCTCCCAGGCTGAAAAAAACACCATTAGGTGAACAACTGGCAAGACCGTCTCAGGCCTTCTGCCCCCTGCTACAAGAACACCAGGCCTGCCCCCATCTTGTTTGGGGGACTGGAGCAGAGAGTGTGGTAAGCCAGTTGAATGCCCTTTAGGACAAGGTCCCGTTCCTCCAGCAACCTGTGATGCTAAAGGCTGACTATTCTCTGCTCTTGCTCCTGGAATTTCTGTTGACTGAGAGAACTATGTTATGCACAGCCTTTCCTGAATATCCCATATCCAGTTGATGATCAGCCTGTAAGAACGAAGGTCGGGGGCTGGAGTGATAGCACAGTGGGTAGGGCGTTTGCCATGCACGCAGCCGACCCAGGTTCGATTCCCAACATCCCATACGGTCCCCTGAGCACCGCCAGGGGTAAAACCGGAGTGCAGAGCCAGGAGGAACCCCTGTGCATCGCCGGCTGTGACCCAAAAAGCAAAAAAAAAAAAAGAACGAAGGTCGGCCTCCCTCATTCCAGCCCTGGAAACTTTGACGGGGCATCCCATATTCAAAATTACTCCCGGAAATCAGCTGAGACCTTCACTTAGACCACAAAGCTCAACTTCCTCTCTCCCCATCTTGCTTGCTTTCTCCTCTGTAGGTGCTGATTCTTAGCACATCCCAGGAGGCCCTTTGCATGATTTCCTGGGGGAATCTTACCTTCAGACAAGGAACTGGTGAGAAATTTGATATAAGTCGAACAGTATTGTGTTAGATTCCTAGGTTGACATTTCCACTACTACCACTTCCTCTGGAGCCAAATGCCCTCATCAGGGCGGGAACCAGGTCTGGTGTGGGCACCGCTGGACAATACCCAGGGTGTAAGGCTAGTCTGCAGCCTTGGTGCCAGACTTGCCATGACCACCACATATGGTCTCCTAAGTCCCACCAGAGTGACCCTGAGCACAGAGCCAGGAGTATCCCTTGAGCACCACTGGATGTTCAACAACTCTGTGTGTATGTGTGTGTAATAATCGGAATTTTTATAGTAAATTAAAGAAATTGAATGAGAGTCCTAAATTGTTTACAAAATAGATTAATGTCCTTCAGGGTAATAAAACCATAACTTTTAGGATTACCTTCTCTACCAGACAGAAAGGGAAATTGCCGCACTTATTACTGGGCCCGCTGGAGCAAATCGATGAACAACGGGAGGACCGTGACCGTGACCATTACTTTACCAAATTGTGAACTGTCTGGGTCATTGTCATTGTCAGTTGAGTAAATAATGTTTTTCTTCAGATACAAATGATTCTTAAGTCAGCTTGCTAGTTAATGTTTTATTATGATATCACAAGAGTCTTGATACTTCAGTAACATTCTGGATAATTTTTTTCAATTGCAGAATCCAATTCAATAAATTATTGGATTATTCCAATTAAGCACAGCAGGTAGGGCATGATGAATTCGATATGCCAAAAACAGTAGCAACAAGTCTCACGATGGAGACATTACTGGTGCCCGCTCGAGCAAATCGATGAACAACAGGAGGACAGTGCTACAGTGCTACCACTTCCCCTACTTAGATAAAAATGTTACTCTCCTGTCTCCCAACTCCAGTTGTTTCGGATGCGAAATCTGCATATTCTTTTTGGGGAATCGGAGGGCACTTGTGACACCTGGCTGTACTCAGGGTTTATTCCTGGCTTGTACTCAGGGATCACTCCTGGTGGGGCTCAGGGGACACTCCTAAGGTATATAAGGGATCAAACTTGGGTTGGCCACATGCAAGGCCAGCTCCTGCCCCACTACTATCTCTCTGGTCCCTTCGCTTTTCAGCAGGACTTTTACTTCTTATGTCTATTATTTCTCTGGCTACTTTTAAGATTTTATTTTTTCTTATAATTGGTGCGTTGGGGTCATTTTACTTATGTTTCTTGTCAGTGTATAGTTTTTATCAAGTTTGGAAATTTCTTAGCCACTATTTTCTCAAAATTTTCATTCTACCCTGCTCTCTTTATTTATTTTTGGCCACACCCAGCAATGCGAACAGGTTACTCCTGGCTTTGCACTC